GTACCAATCCAACAAAAGGCGGCTTGAAGAACCTCGAAGTATCCATCCACTTAGCGGATGGCGCCTCCAATCCAGGAAAGGACAACGGCTTGATGGAATGACTTCTTTGAAGTTTCAACCAAGCATCGAAGATCGAAGGCTGCATGACCAAGCACGGAGATTGTTCTGGCAGTGGTACTCTCTGAGTTGCATGCATCTCAGAGGCGACAAGGAAATGACTACTGCTCGATTTGGTGTGTTCTTGAGTTTCGCTTGGTAACGATGCACCTTGTAAGAAGTCCTCCATGACATCCCTAGCATGTTCCGATAACTCCAGAGCCTGTTCCGAAATCTCTCGAGCATGTTCTGATGACACCGACTTCACCTCCTCAAGGTCGGACGAGTCCATGTCCCCCGCGCCCCATGAAGATCAGAGAGTTATTTTTAAACCCTCCTCGCCCTCGCCAGCCAGTGCTGCGCGGGTTTAGATGAAAGTGAGGTCTAAGATTACATACACACGTATGCATGAGACCTTTTAGTTTTTCCCAAAGAAGGTAATTTTTCTTTTTGAAATTTTAAAGTATAGTAAAGTGAAGCACAAGCACATGAGTTGATAAAAACGTTCATTGTACACAAGTACAAAGCACACAACTCACATACAAGTTTACACTAAACATTACAAAGGTGAGTTCAATACTCAAACCACTTACCCCGTGCTAAGATGCACTGTGAACACCGAAAAGATGGTTTGATCCCTTCCAGGGATGAGTCAACTTGGAATGACCACTTCCTTCTCTAAATTTTACCCCTGCCTTGCCCACAAAAGGGTGAGTCAAGTTGAAATGGCAACATCCTTCTCAAAATTTTACCCTCGGGTGGCTCACCAAAGGGTGAGTCAACTTGGAAGAGCAACATCCTTCTCTAAATTTTACCCCTGCATGGCTCACAAAAGGGTGAGTCAAGTTGAAATGGCAACATCCTTCTCTAAATTTCCCCCTGCATGGCCCACAAAAGGGTGAGTCAACTTGGCATGGCCACTTTCCTCTCTAAACTTTACCTCTGCATGGCCCACAAAAGGGTGAGTCAAGTCGGAGTGACCACTTCCTTCTCTAAACTTCACCCTGCCCACAAAAGGGTGAGTCAAGTTGAAATGGCAACATCCTTCTCTAAATTTTACCCTCGGGTGGCTCACTAAAGGGTGAGTCAACTTGGAAGAGCAACATCCTTCTCTAAATTTTACCCCTGCCCACTAAAGGGTGAGTCAAGTTGAAATGGCAACATCCTTCTCTAAATTCTACCCCTGCATGGCCCACAAAAGGGTGAGTCAAGTTGAAATGGCAACATCCTTCTCTAAATTTTACCCTCGGGTGGCTCACCAAAGGGTCAGTCAACTTGGAAGACCCTCTCACGATGTAAGTGCGCGAGCAACGACGAGCATACCTTCTTTTTATGCCACGCAGTGCAATATTGGGCAGAAAAAGTCTGGGGCCAAACGATTACTAGAACTCCCCGACGATTACATTCATGAGACTGCACCTCTCCTTCCAGCCTCCCAGGAGTTTCAGGCCAAGCAGCACCGTACAGCAAGGACAGGATGCGAATCTTTTGTGAACCGGGCGCGATTGCCGAGAGGTTAGAACTTGATCATGCTACAACCACTGTCCACAGCTGACTTTTCCAGCTTTGTTCAGGTCCAGCATTAATGATCATCAATCCCGACCACCGGCACTGGCTGTGAGAGAAAATCACTGCCGACAAACCAAAAAGAATTCCACCGGTTGTGTGTGTGGGTCTCAGAGAGCAGATTATCACATCAACCAGTGCGCCGTTGAGGCCTTTGTGAGCGGAGCAAACTCACAGTAGCCCGAGCGCCCAACATCAGCACCAAGCATCTTCCAGCTGCCCGTCGGAGCCAGTTCTGCGCCAGAACGCGCAGAATCTACCGCAGCGTGCCCGGATGTAGGACGCCGAGCGCCAGCAACACGAACACCCATCAAAATTGACAAAATGGAATTCTAGGGTGCAAGTTCGGAAGTTTGCACATCATGCCAGAAAGGCAGGGCTTCCGAAAAACTCCGTGCAGCCTAGAGCTGCTTCACTTTCGCGCTCGCCTCTTCTTGCCACGCGAAGGGAAATCCGCTGGATTTTCGCTGGAGGGGACAAAGATAAAATGCAGCTGAAGATTTCCAGCCATCGCCAGAGAAGCGACCTTCCGCAACAGCCTGTTCAACTGTGAAGATGACCTCCCTTTCGCGGCCGCGCCCAGAAAACTGCAGAGTCAAGCAGAACAACAACTCTTGTCGAGTGGTGCTTGGTGGACCGCAGAAGCCACTTCAAGAAAAGCACGAATGCCTCACCTTCCAGGACGTTGATGTGTGCATGAAATTTGGAGCGAACACTGAAGATGTCGGAAAAGTGCTCAAGCTTCAATTTGTCAGAATCATGGCCAAGTAGCGTCCCCCCGGCACATCCAGAAAGTATCCGTCTACTAAGTCAACCCCAACACAGGTACCACAGAGCGCGTCGTCAACGTTCTTCTTAAGATTTCGGACTGCGCATCGTGCATCCATAGCTGCATCGAAAGCTCTTGCTGCTTCACAGGTGGCACCAGGGCCAGCGTCGCTGAAAATCATGACATCATCGGTGGCCACCGCAGCAACAAGCTCAAACGATGTAGGTGTCACGCAATCACAAGCCAAGAGAGATGAAGTTGGTATGCCAGCATCTTGACAAACACTCAGCATCTCTTCTTGGGCTATGTAAGAAGACCAAGAAAATCCCATAGGCCAGACGCAGTGCAAAGGATATAGCAAACCTTCGCGCCAAGCATGTCCATCTTCCATGTGCTGCCGCTGATCCGCCACTGACATTCCAGCATTGACAAGTTCCACTGTGGAGATGGGCGGTTTGGCCATGTATCGACGAAGAGAGCTGGGAAGCTTCAACTGGTCAAACCAACACGTAGCATCGCGCTTGCTAAGGCGTAGTGGTCTTGCATCGCTGCACTCCAGAAAGGTCAACGCAGTTGGGGAAGCCAAGTGTCTCGGCTTTGGAGGTGCAGAAGCTGATTCTGAAACACGTCGGCCGTGCCATACCTCCCTCAGGCGTTCACCCCCAGGCTTCCCAACAGCGAAAGTGGTACCACCACCCTTGCAAAAAGTTGCTAAACTCAACTTACCACACCGCATCTGCTTCACAACCAATTTTGCATATTCGTCTTTCGGGCCCTTAAGGAGAAAGATTCAAAAACACGCAAAGAATCATCGCTGTTGTCAAGGATTCCTTCAGGTGTTGCCAAGCTGGCCCGCACATGGGCTGGCAAGTGGGGCAAAGGATCGCATAAGCCAGCCGCTTGCAAGTTGTCCACCCTGTCAGCAACCAAGTCTTGGAAAGAAGTTGTACCTGCAGTGAAACCTGGCACAAAATCTGGCACAAACCGCTCCCAGCCATCTTGCGCATGTTGCAGGCGTGTGAGTGTCCACACTGTGCGATCCACGATGTTTTTCAAAAACTGCTTGTTGAGCGAACGTGTGCTTGCCAGTCGGCACTGTCTGCTTTATGCCGTGCAACCAGTTCAGAATGCCAATGACCACGTTGATGAATTGGAGGAGCACGCTCCACCTGCCACTTGTCATGTCTACAGGCTTCAGCATGCTACCACCAAGCGGGGCCAAGGGAAAAACATCTCGTTGCCGAGTACTGACCGGCGGCCAACACTCCAGTTCCAGTTTTGGCGGCAAGGGCGAGACGGTAGAACAACCAAACCTTGTCTGATGGAATGGTGGAATGGCCATCTGCCCTCCATGCCAGCCACAAAGCCCTTCTGCGTCGGGAAGAACAACGGCTGGCAGAAGAACGGCCCTGTTTTCGATCGGAAGCATTCTGGCGCGTGGCATGAGCAGAGGCTCTGTGGAAGTCGCGTCTTTTCTTGGATGGTGACATGCAAACTCTTCCCCGATGAAAACTTCTTTGCTGGCGGAAACCAAAAAAACTCCAGCGAGGAGATCCAACGAGAGAGGAGCTTGATCACTGCCCACCCATGCCGGACGGACCGACACAGACACCGCACGAAGCGACCCTGATTTCTGACTGGAGCCCATTTGCCCACATTTCTACCGTTCATTTAAACAATTGATATCAGTTGATACTGGAACTCATCACTTTTCGGTTTCTGCTGACGAATGCATCACCTTTCACTGAACGGTTCGTTCATGAATAATTGTCCATTCGGTAACACCCCGACGCTTACATTCGATACTAAAGGCCCCCGACATTTAATTCTGTACTAAAACTCCCCGACGATTACATTCGGTAGTAAAGCCCCCCGACAATTACGTTTTGTACTAAAACCTCCCGACAATTACTTTCTGTACTAAAACCTCCCGACAATTACTTTCTGTACTCAAACCTCCCGACAATTACTTGCTGTACTAAAACCTCTCGAAAATTACTTTCTGTACTAAAACCTCCCGACAATTACATTCTGTACTAAAGCCTCCCGACAATTACATTCTGCACTAAACCCTCCTGACAATTACATTCTGCACTAGGACCCCCCAACGTGACCTCTTCCCACAGTGCCGCATAAAAAAAGGAACCCTTAGCATAAAAAAAGAAACCATTAGCATAAAAAAAGAAACCAGGAGCATAAAAGAAAGAACTGCAAGCATAACAGAAAAAACCATTAGCATAAAAAAAGCACTATAAGCATAAAAAAAAAGAAACCCATACCCCAAAAGCACACCAACCCAGCTGTGAGCATAAGAAAAAAAACCATTAGCATAAAAAAAAAAAAAAAAACACCCAGCCCCTATTTTTTGACCGGCTGAAGTAAAGGAAGTTCCCGAAATCAGGTCCCCTAAAGACCATTCTTGTTATAGTCTTTGACTCCCAGGGTGGATGTGTATTTTAATAGGGAGACCCCCTGGACCTGGCTGGGTAGACTGGTCTACTTTCCTTCTTCCAGGGGTCGGAACGTCTGGGTTCGGTCTCCCTATTGGCGCCCATCGTCCCGCCCCGGCCTCCTGCTTCAAGCGACGCACCTCTGTTGCTGCCCGCTCCTTGAGCAAAGGGTCCACCAGTCGACCAAACGTGACTGCCCCCTTCGTCCCAAAACGATTCTTCGTCGGAGGTCGAAGAGATGCTTCCACATGCTCCAAAAAGATCTGACGAACACATCACATGGAAGGTGGATCTTATGGTCCCTCGGAAGACCACTTTCCTTAACGAACAGGAGGCGAACTCCACTTCCATGTGATGTGTTCGTGAGTGGCAGTGTACACCTGGTGGCTCGCTCGCTCTCATCACCAGCGACTTTGGCGAACCCGGGCGAGAGCGACCAAGTCGTGCCACCTCACTGCGCCTCACTGCAGCCCACAGGGAGGCGTTCTCCTCCATGTCGATCTCTTAATAAAACCGATGAACCAGGAGTCACATGGAGTTGGGTGGTGTGGCTCGTCCCATCCAGTGAATGGATGTGACAAGGGCACCCCGACTTCCTCCATGGATCGCACCCCACTTCCTCCATGTGACTGGCGGTCTTCATCCACAATCAACATCAATGACCTCTCTTTCCGACCTCTCTTGTCGAGGACACCGGACAGGACTGACCACCGACGACACCGGACTGGGGCCAGAGTCGTTCGTCCCTCCGCTGATCTGATCTCCCCGTTCGTCCGTTCGCGGTCCAAGCTCTGGACTCTCTCCTGACTCCTCCCAACCAGCTAACATCTCTCAGTCCCTCCTCGATGCGTCTTGCGTCGAAAGAAGCGTTCCTTCTTTTTTCCAGGGTTCTTCGAAAAGTATACACCGGAGCCCCCCGAAACAGGGGGGTCTACGAATAGCTCCTTAGAGGTTAGGGGGTGTCCATAGTATGTGTCCATCAACCACCACTTGCTGTGTCCTGCTATAGACAATTATAGACATACACTCACTGATCCTTCTTGGATGGTCTTTTCTCCAGCAAAACCCCCAAAATCAAACACCTTCAGGATCCAAAAGAAAGAAGAAAGAAAGGCCTCTTCTCTCTCCTTGAACTCCTCCTTCTGCTGTTCCGCCAGCTCTGCCTTCTTCTGCCAATTCTGCGCCACCCGCTCGGCTTGCCGGATCGCCTCCACGGCCTAGAGAGCCGGAGTTCTCATCTGGATGGGTCTGGTGTCAGCTGATCTGAGAGAAAACGGATTGAGAGTGGATTGAGTGTATCCTTTTCCCTGTTTTCTATGGGCGATGATGGTTTTGTAACAAGGCCTCCCCTCTAAAATCGTGGTGCTAGTGACTACTGAGACGTGTTCACCAACGGTTACAAGTCATGGGACACCCCCCAAGATGAGTTTATATAGAATGTTTTGGTCGCAATGTCCAACAAAAAGAATCAGAGATGAGATCTGTAGTCAACATGTCAGCTTTGAGATGCTTTTTGAGCACCAAACCTCTGCCTTCGCTTTGGACCATGGGACATTTCACCACTCGAGTCGACGCTGGTGAACGAACTCTGAACTACTCCACATCCACATGACCAGCTTCAAACACACCAGTGACTGCAAAGTGCTCCGAGAATCGAAACCTCAAAACCTCACAGCCTCACCACCTCCCAGGGCCTACCAGGGCCATCGGGCCATCCGGGTGGATTCGCAACTGTCCGTTTCTCTTTCTCTCCACTTTTGTTCGACCGCAAACAGCGCCTTGCTTTTGGTGCTTTGGCTCTGCTCCCTCTGCGCTGTGGAGCGCGCTTCCATCTCCGCCAGCACGTTGGAGAGGTCCGACAGCTGGCGCCTGGCTGGGCTTCGCGCAGGCGGGACGGGGGGCGCCAGGTCCATTTTTATACTATAGTTACTACCTGGAGTCTCAAAGTACTTCAGAAAATGCTGTTTTTCTAGGGTCATGTCCCATTTTCTAAGGTACTTTGCAGGGTCCAGGTATGAGTATACAGAAAGTTCAAGAAACAGACTTCTGTAGTTCAAGAGAAGGGGGAACGGGAGATCTACCCTCCAAACTCACATGGACTCTCTACCAACCAGAAACTCGCACGGCAAGAGACTCCAAGACTCGAACCAAAGAGGCATGGATTGAACAAGGAGGCATGTCAGTGTTCACCCTAATGTAGACTCTTGAGGACCATAAGCCCTCCCATTTGAAGTGGAAATCCTCTGAAATACGGGTGGTTTATGAATCAAGAGTCTACATTACATGTCACAAGGTCTTACAGTAGTCTTATTACAGTTGTAGTTGTTGTTTTTGTTCAGAGGTGCGATGGCACTGGTTTCCATGTCCTGAAAGGACGGGGGTCCAAATTGATATAAACCACCTGTGCCATCTACTCTGAAACCACTGTTTCATCTTGCAGGTATCTAGAATACTGAAGCAACCCAGGCAGTTTGACGGAACAATACTCAATGCAGTGAAGCACGCCCTTTGCTCAAATCAAGCCAATTGAGATGTATTCGGCTTGAGACATCTGCTTGTCTTTGGTGTACCGAACCAACTTCCCAGAGGTCAAAAAGACCAACTCCCAGAGGTGACCAAGTATGGATCTTTGCAGTCGAGCTGGATGCAGCCTCCTTGGATCTGTTGAATTAATGAACAAGATCCAAATGTTTCATCGATGAGTGTTCATCCCCCATGCTCCTGTCTTCTTTTAAGCAGCTACATTTAAGGTGAAGGATTGCCAGCACCCCCTGAATATGAATACCCCCGAAAAGATATCACTACATCCACATCTCGCTGCAAGTCTTCCACTTCCACTCCAAACCCAACTCCATCCACCTCTCCCAAAGTCAGACCCTACCACTTGAGGCTCCAGACTCCCTCTGCTTCAGCAGCTGCTGCGCATCCGCCAAGTCGGCCCGCACGCGCGCCGCGTCTTCCGCGTCCTCCGCGGGCGCACGCTCCGCGCGCGGCGACGTCGACGTCTCCGCGGACACGGTCAGCTCCGCGGGGTGCTCCGGGAGGTGCGGCGCGGCGGGGGCCTGGCCGATCGGACGCGTGTCGACGCGGCGAAGGGTGTCATCCCTTCCCCTGAATCTGTGGGTAAATGTGCCATGCGGATCCGTGCGGTACACCATACGCCATAGTACATCATATGTACACCAAGCGATTTGCGCAGTGGCCCCACCATTGTTGGCACATCCCAAAAGCTTACGCCCTTCCCACTCGGGTTCAGTGCAGAATCTGTCCATGTCCGAAAATCCCCTCTCCAGACTCTAGATTAGACTTTTGGCACCCCTGGAGGCATGGCGACATCGTGCGCTTCAGCACCAGCTCAACTTTCCAACGATCAGATGCTTCAGCAGGCCTCTGGTGCCTCCACTTCCACCTCCTGAGAAGCAAGCTTCTCCTCGAGACCTCCAAAATGCAGGTCGCAGGTCGCGTGAAACGAAGGCGGAAAACGAATCCACTCAACAACAACAGAGAAAACACGCTTCACTCCCCAAAACACCAAAAACTCCACCAAACATCTACTGAAGCGCCTTCATCCCTTCCTCCTCCAAGCAAGTCTCCCTCTTCTCTGGGTGAAGCCGCCGCCTCAATCTCCGCCTCCACAGCCGTCTCCGCCTCCATCTGACGCGCATCCTCGACCTCCGCAGGGCCCAGCACTGCCACGTCTGCCACCGCCTCCGGCGGAGGAGGTGCCTCCTCCTCCACCACCAGAGCCTCCGGCTCCGCGGCGTCCCGGTCCGGCGCAGCGTGGAGGTCCTCCTCCGGTGAGGCAGGCAGGTCCAGCAACTCCTGAATGGAAGGGGAGCGATGCGGTGGTCATGTGGTCATGTGGTGAATATAACGTTCAAAACACAATAAGACCTCTCCCCCCTTTGTATTGACAAACCTCTGGACTTTAATCAAGGGTCCACATTAAGGTAAGCTGAGTTCCTGGTCTCTCTTGGAGAGGCCCAATTAGATGCGGATCGTCCACCAGATCTATCCGCCCGGTCCAACCCGCGCCCGTCCGCATCCCCCGCATCCCGTCCGCGCCTCGGCCGATGGAGCCGTCCCCGCGGTCACCGGCGGAGGCTCCTCAAGCTCCGGGTCCTCGTGGAGCTCCGGGTCCCCGTGGAGGCCTCGTTTCGGTCGGACCCATCTGGGCCGTGACAAAAATGATCCGAACTGGTGGCTTTTGGATCTTCCAAGAATGGGGAATGTCTGCCTTTTCGTCGATTAAAACCGCCAGGCAAGGCACAAAAGCTTTCCACATGTTGGAAGATCCATGTTCAAAAAAAGAACCGCTCACTTGCGTCATGAGGTCTCAAAGCCAACGAGCCGCGACCAACGGCAGTGTTTGCATCGATCACGAGCGGCGACCTTGTCTTGTCGGTCTGGGGGGGCTTCTCGAACCAACGACCAGGTGAGCCGAAGCGAGCGACCGCTCGCGACCAGGTGGAGAAGAGATGGAGGGAGGAGAACGTCCATCTTCCACCAGGACCTTCCAAGGGGTGCCCTGGCTGGAAGCCCCTGCACCACTAAGGGACCTCCAGACAGGACACCCCTTGGAAGGTCCAGGCACTGTTTTTGGTTCGCGTCTTCTCCTTCACGCCGAGACCAATTTTCTACGCTTCAAGCAGCCGTACGGTACTAGCCGGTACCCTACTCATGCCTTACTCACGAAAAAATACCAAAAACATGTTACAACCAGCAGTCACGGAGGAAGTCGGGGTGCGATCCATGGAGTCGGGGTGCCGGGGTGCCCTGGTCGTCACATCCACTCACGTAAGCCAGGGGACGAGGTTGCACACCACCCACCTCCATGTGACTCCTGGTTTGGCCGTTCGGCCAATCTCCTTCGGTCCATGGGAACCGGTCAAACCCGGTCAAACCGCAGCGCGGTCGACCACGAAGACATGGGTGTGTAGCTCAAACAAGACAATGGGACACCTCCCAAAGCGTTCCGACCCCGTTGGAGGAAGGGAAACCAAAAAGACCCAAGGACCCCTTGGCTGGGGAGCTCCCCCCCCAACCTTTCTTTTCTACACACGCCCCGTCTTTCCAGTCTTTCCGCTCGCCTGCCGTCTGACTGATGGTGGCCAGCTCCTGGTGGCTGCGTTCAAGGCGATCAAGTGCTTTGGACCAATCCGAGGGTCCTACCGTTATGGCTGCCGGTCCGTACCTGTCGCCGTGATCGACGCGTGCCTGTGCTGTAGTACGGGACCTCTGACTGAAACAGTCTTGAGACACCTTGACCATCCAAGACACCATGTTTGTTTGACCGTGAACATCATCTTCCCAAAGGGTCGCGCGCGTGCGCGCGAGGTGGAGCTCAAAAAAGAAACGCGAGTGGTCAGAGAAGAATATGCGTCGATTGGAAGCTCCATCGGCAGTACACCGCTCAGTACACCGCTCGTCACCCATGTGTGTAGATTCGGAAAAGAGGTGTGTTTTTTGTAGGTGCAAAATGCTGCAAATGCCTTTGGTCCCCGCATAGGTTTCACATGGTTTCACTACCACATTTTATCGACTTCTGCAATGGCACCACCAAGCGGCCCAGAGCCCTTTGAGAACCTCCCTGTCCTCCGGGGCTGCAGGGTTGCCCACGCCTTGGAAACCGGTTTGAGACGGCAGTCAGGTGTTGATACCTGCGCGTGTCTTAATTTTGAATAGGGTGGGTCTGTGTTCTTGTCACTAGAATCGCCAGAAGCCTGCAAGGGGGGGTGTCTCGATATGTCTCTATCACTTACCCCCAAAGCACCTATTCCGGGGGTCCACCTTGGTCCAAGCAGAAAAAGAGGGCCCACCCTGCACCTGGCATCATGGCTACAGTGGAGTGAGTGAGTGAAAGCATGTGAAAGCCACTCCTTTGATCTGAGTCACTTGATGTCATGGTCATCCAAGTCGGTTTTTCCCGGACCATGCCAGCGCATGGATTCGGCCCAGGCCCATGCATTCGTTCAGGGAGCGCGGACCATATGGTCACCTGGATCCGCGCCAAAACCCTGCGAGGGACCCATAGCTGCGAAGGACCGGCGAAGGACCCCGTTGTTTGGTCCATCTCAATTGACAATCCCTCCGCTCGGCAACAAAAACAACCACAACCCCCACAACAACAAAAAAAGAAATACCATAAAGGGCACAAACCTTGTGTCCCGCGGTTGCTTCGAGGTGTCCCAGATTCTGAAGTCTTTCGGTACTCACCGTGCATGCCGCAGCTCTCCCAAAAGCTCTTTCAACCTTCGATCCGCAGGTCGAGCCCCCGGGCGTGGGCCTCCTGTGGCCCAGCCCAGCCACTTCTCCGCCACGCCTCAGCCGAGCTCAGAGCGAAGACGACGGCGGAGCTGGGGTACTCAGACGACGGCGCCTCACGTGACCGCCATGGACCATGGAGCGAAAAAAAGAAACGGTGCCTCACAACTGGAGGCCGGAGGCCCCAGGGCCCCAAAAAAGAATATAATCTCTACAGTATATAGTAACAAGAAGCTACTAGGGGCTCCTGGCATCGCAACTAGGAGCAAGGACGCTACGAACGGGGCTCCTGGCAGTCCTAGGAGCAAATAGCTGCTATAGTAACAAGAAGCTACATTCACATCGACTCCCTGGGGTGCCAGACCAACAGTTCGAACACCTCGACTCACGTTCGTGGCCTTTTCCAAAAGGACGGGACCGCTCGGAAATCGCCCTCTTCAGAAGTCGCCGGAAACTCCGACCCCTCCGACCCGGGCCGCGCGCGCGCATTCTCCGCCCTTCCAGGCCGCTGCCCAGCTCTGTTGGTCTGGCCAAGAGGCCATCCAAGGAGGATTCGAGATCTGTGGCAGAGGAGTCTCCCGCCCTCGGATCATCTAACTCGGACAGGAACTTGTACCTCCCAGAAGCCGAGGGACACAGGGCAGGCAGCACAGGTCGTGCAGCGCAGCTTCCCTGTAGACGGGTGCCCTGTAGTAGACGGAGACCTACAAGTATGGTAGGGCAACCATGGGCCACCTCCAGCCAGGTGACCCGTTGGGGTTCGCACCTGGAAAAAGAAAAGAACCTGATTTGCTATGATCTGTTGTGGTCAAGTGAACCAAGGGGTCTACTGGGTCAAACCTCAGGGCTTCTCTCTGGCGTTTTGCGCCCAGGGGCCGCTCCCAGCAGTCCTTCACGCGGTTTTGGAACTATCAAACAGTTCAAGTAAATGGACCTTTCGGGTGCAACGACACCCGATATAGTGCGTGACTCTCTTGCTGGACCTATGCATCTTCCCCACTTCCGAAAAATCGGAACAGGTCTCCTGTCTGGACACCGACACCTGTCGAAGAAGAAAAGGACCTTCCAGGAGTCACATGGAGGGCCTGGGTGGTGTGGCTCGTCCCATCCAGTGGAGCCAGCGAGTGGATGTGGATGTGACGTGACCGGGCACCCGCCTCCTCCCGCACCGGCACCGGCACCCAACTCCATGTGACTCCTGGTTGCTCTGCCTCCGCCAGTGTTCCCCCTTCGGATTCAGTCGACCCCCGGCACCCAACTCCAGTCGAGTCGACTTCCCCCTGGCACCCTTTGCTCAGCAAATCCATGGCGTCAGCCCGCACGGCCACGAGGGCTCGTTGAAATGGCGAGGACCGATGCTCGACCGAGGTCGCGATGCGATGCTAGGTGTGTCGTTGGGGGGTCTCAGCCTCAGAGCCTCCTCCATGAGTTCGACCGAAGCCCCTTTGTCTCGTTTTTCTTCTGAGGCGTTCTTGATTATTGTTCACTGGGTCATCCTGAGTGGGATCCGGCATGCAAGCCCTTCTGGATGAAACTGGTCAAGCTTGGGCTCCATAGCTCCACTGAAATCGTTTGGCTTTTGGATCCGTTTGGGAAGTTCCAGCTTTACACACCAAGTCTTCCAACCATTCTTCTACCTCAGGGGCCCATGACCGCCATGACCGCTATGACCCAGGCGGAGCCTCTCTTTGCTACGTGGCCCCACAATCCTGGAACCCGACGCTTTGCGGTGCCCCGTCTGGTCTTTCTACTTGGGGAGGTCGTTTGAAGATGTGTTCCATCCATGTCCAACTGAAGCAACCCAACTTTAAGCTTAGCTCGTGTCAAGGCCGGTGCCTTTGATAAGCTTTGCTTGCCTTTGATGCGGCCTCTGGTCTGCTGAAAGCTCATATCAGACTTGAAGCCTTTAAGCTTAGCGTGCGCCTACTGCTCCATTTGCGCAGGAAAACGGAGGACAACTCCCAACTGCACAACATCAGTGCTATTTGTTTTGTTTTCTAACAGACCTCAGTCACCCGTACAAGCACCGGACTCTGAATGCTAGCGACGCAGGCTCTCTCTGCTGCTCTATATCAATTCGACGTTTGAGCTCAAAAGTGGCTGCAGGCGCTTGAGCCCATCAATATCTGCCAAACATTCCACAAATAGACAGGTACAGGCCACCCATGATGTGCTTGCAACATCCGCAGACCCGGCAAAACTCGAATCTAAAGCAATCCACCAAAAACAACCAGTGGTTGAACTAGGGTTTAGGGTTTCCTCACACCGCACATCTCACAAGTCTTTTGGTCTCGGATGCTCTCTTCCGCTTTCCTTTGGCCATGGGTCCGGTCGTGTGGCATTCGGAGCGGCGATGAAGAGCTCGACTGAGTTGAAGGATCATCCAGCATCATCTTGGATCTTATATTGAGGCCAAAGGGGGGTCTGCATCGCATCGGTCGGCGACCCCGGGTCGGCAAAGGACCGTGGAGCCCAGCGAGATTCCCCATGTCTCATCTCGCGAGTGGCGTTCCAACACCACATCCACAAACGGAAAGTGCGCCTCATCTTGGTAGTGGCGTGCTGGGAAAGCTGACGGTGGCGCCGCAGCCTGAGGCTGGGGCAGGTCTGGCTCCGGCTCAGCAACCTAAGCAATTGGAGGTGGTGAATCTCCGCGGATCTTGCATGGAAGCTTTCCGTGCACCAAATCCTTTCTCCCTCATCGTGGGGATCCAGAAATCGCAGACACACTGCGCATCTCTCTGCATTCTCTGTGCCAAAGTTTGGCACCCCACTCTGAGAGGGTGATCGACTTCGCTGAGGACGACAAGCCACAAATTGAGATGGCACGCCGCCTGGCGTGTAAAAGTCGGTGGGGTCTGCATCTGCTGAGCCTGCATCTGCTGAGGCTGCATCTGCTGCGGAATTGGGGACGCACACCTCTGTTGAGGGTGTTGCAGAAAACTAGATCCCTGGCCACACTGTTGCATGCCGCCAACATCAGGCACAGGTGAGTGATGTTGCTGCAAATGCTGAAACTGCATGCCTTCACCGTTGATTTGCGGGATTTGCTGTGGATGTGGTTGAGGGTGGCGTCCTGGCCCGAATGTTGTATGCTGCCAGCTGTCATCTGCTGTGGCTGTTGCATTGGGGTTTGTGGCACTGGATGCATGAACATCTGTTGCTGCATGTCACTCCTTGGACTCCTTGGTGGGAGGATCTGCTGCATTTGTGGCTGGAAACCCGGCATTGCTGTCTGACCCAGGGTTGTGGGAACCCCAACCTTGAACGGAAGCCTGCATGCTACCAGAGTGCATCTGCTGCGTTTGCATCGTGGCTGCGGTTGCTGCATCGCCCGGGAATAGCTCCCTGTGTTGGAGTGTTGTCATCGTCCGGGATCATCGCGCCATGGACCATCGGGTCGGGTCATAGTTCTCCCGTGCTCGGTAAGGCCTGGCACTGGGGGAACTGCCCTGGCGAGGTCTACGCAGAAACCCGAAGCGGTGCTGAAAGCCCACCCTGCTCCTTAGGTGAAGGCGCAAGATGCATTGAAAGGAGCTGTTCAAAAAGGAGATGCCTCATCTTGATCTTGGTGAAAAAAACAAGCCGAATCCAGATCCAAGCTGGACCAACTTGCTAACTCAAGCTGTCCTCAGCTAACTCAACTCTTTTCAGCGCTCTCAGTTCCCAACCACCATCTGCTCTGGAAACCAAGCCTTCGAGTCTGGTCAAATCACCTTAGAGACCGGTCATATCACCCATTGGCGCAGCCTCCACCCCTCCAGGGGCAGTGACCGGAGTGACGCCGTGTCTGCTCGGATTCAACGTCGAGGAGCGAATCCGAGACCACTTCAAACGATCGGGCAACCACCCGGAGTCCTTTGTACCCGAGCCTGACTGCTGACTGTAGTCCTTATGAGGGAACATGAGGGAACCTTTGGACATCCATTCCCCTAGGCCCTAGGCGCCCACAAATTGATCGCTGAGAGACCGAGGCACCCTTGCTTTAGTAAGGTTTTTTACACTACAAAATCCAGGTCCACCAAAGTCTTTTAATGGTCAAACGGAAGACTAGGGTTTCTTCAATTCCTTGTGAAGCAGTCAAGAAACCTTCTTCCCCCCACTGTAACCCTCTGGGACGTAAACGCCAGGTTCTCAGGTGGGTGGCGCGGTGGTTGGCGCGACCGTGTGGTGGACCACCGGGTTGTACCACCACTGCCACTATTGACCACTGTTGCTCGTACTCCTGGACCTCCACCCAGGAAAGGAACCAAATAAAGGCTGCCGAGGTTGTTTCGAAAAAGCAAAACGAAGGTAAAAGCCATGTACTAGTACCAGTGTCCCTCCACTCACCACACCAGCCGGATCCTTTCAACAAAAAGAGCCTTTTGGTCGGCGAGGCCATGCAAGGGCCCAAACAACTTGAATCCTCACGAACCCACGAATCCTCTCAGCACCTGACCGTGGGACACTCATCCTCAGCGCCGGCGTCAGATGAGATGAACACCGCGGGGCCCGCGCGCCACGGACTGCTGAGCTGGGCCTAATGAACTACCATGGGTCAACCTATCGTAGCTCTGGGACTCCAACTACCTCCGTCTTCGGTTCGGTGCCAAGGGTGGCCACCCCGGGGTCTCGAAGCACCGAACCTGACGAGCTCGAATTTTCGGCCAGGAGCCCAGCCCACGGTGGTCTCGACCCTTCTGCCCAGAGTATGGCTAGATGTATACACCCGACTGAAGTCCATTTCGACTTCTGACCGACTGAAGTACCGGAAATTCCGACCGGCTCGGGTCAGCTAAAGACAACTTCTTTTGATAGTCTTTGACTCCCAGGGTACACATGTATATGTAGCAAAAGACCAATGTGAATCAATGTGAGATATCTGATATCTGAGATACCATCAGATACCTCATTTGTACCCCACCCAAACACATGCTCTTGGGCTCCAAATACTAACATCATAACCACCTTCGAAACGACCCAACTCAAAGGCATCCGGGTTCCCGGTTCCAACACTTCTTCGGTGAGCTGTGCGTCACTCCCCAACGAGCTCGGTGCCCTCCCTCCACCCTCCCTCCCTCTGCCTTCGGTCCCAACTCGGCTCTCCAGGTGCGCCGGGCGTTGAGGATCTTCCGCGGGGAGACGCCCCAGCGGTCGATCTGGTTCGGGTCGGCACCTGGCGTCGGCATGCGTGTGACCGAGGACGTGGGGATCGAGGGATCGACCGAGCGGAGAGAGATGGGGTCGGGTTGGGTCATTCTCCGTCAAAGGGCGGAGAGGACCACCTTCAAATCAACCACTGAATTCATTGGGCTTTAGGTCACCCGCGTCCAGGAATGTCCTGAATCATTCAGTGTCAAAACATTGACTTCTATATAAAGTAAAGAGTAGCAAAGAATGGCGGACTCTTCATGAATTTAAAACCTCCATTTGGATTGAAAGACCTCTTCTTGCGGGGGGGTGGAAATATGATCAAGAGTCTATACCGTAGTTTATAGACACCCTTGAAAATGTATGTTCCATCCAATAACCACCCTTTGGGTGGTGCTGGTATATATACACATTCATCATCAATCTGCAAACCCAAATAACAAGAAACAATGTTGTTTGTTTGTGTGTGTGTGTTTTTTTCCGGAGTCTCAGCCACTTCCTATCTAAGGATCTCCATTGCCGGAAGTAGACCATTTGTTGATGGTTGGGACTGGGAAGCTCCCAGAAAATCTGCAAAACCCTAAGAGCTTCCCCAAAACGTCCCGACCCCGCGGGGACTTCCCGGTGGTCGAAACAGGACGAAACACGTCTCGTGCCCGCTCCGCCTCCCTCCCTGAAACGACCGGAAGGGGAAGACGTCTTCAGGAGCGATGCCATGCGGTGCTGGACTGCGTGGAACATCTTGGAACATCTCCAAAAAAGTACGTTCAACCTGCTTCGACCTGCTTCTTCGACCTGCTTCTTCGATCTTCTTCGACCTGCTTCGACCTGACCATCTCCAAGCTCCTTCGACCTGCTTCGAAAGCGCCCGAAGCGTCCGTGGAACCGAAACCGGATGAGACCGGAAGAGACCGGATGGTCGGATGAAGCAGCTTCAGCCCGGGGCGCGATGCTTCAGGAGCAACTGCACCAAATCAAAGTGCTTCCGCCTCAGTCGACCGGCGGCTTAGAGCCAATAGTCGACCAATCAAAATGGAGTTCGGTGAAAAATGGATGATTGGAACCATGGCCGGGCTGAAAAAGTGTAAAGCCATGTGCTGAAAAGGCTGGGAGTGGCATTGTAAATAGATGTAAATAACATGTTGCGCTCAAGTTAGATGTTTCATACCTATAGTTTTCTGGAGAGAAAACTACAAACATCTACAAACTAGTACAGTAACAACACGGTGCACCCAAATAGATAGAAAAGGTCAGGCATGTCGAATGTGATCTTTAAACACGTCCGCGATGATATATAATACCTACTGCATTTGGTCTTCAATATGTCTTAAATTGTACCATGTTGAAATAGGTATAAATAGGCCAAAAAGGACACTGTCCCTGTATGGATCCACTACATTCCACTGCCACCCACTGAGAGGCTGATTGGAGACATTCTATGTACGCGTGGAGAATCCAGTCCTACCGGCAAGACTGTAGCGAACGACCAGCCAAGGCCTGTTGCTTTGCAGAAGGTGGCTGAAGGGGCATGATGCCCGGGGATCATTGATCCGGTGTTTTTCGGTTGGATCTACCACCCAGCCTGGTTCGAGCGGCGTCTAACCGGGCGATGAAGCGTGGCCCTCAGAACACCCGGGTCCTCGACGGGCCATCCCCGGTCCTCGCGCCACTCGGATCCGATGAACGACGAGGGCACCACGCGGCCCACCACAGCGGGGATCGGAGATCTTCGTCCGGGATGCTGACCTCGGCCCGGCTCACTCCGACCGGCTCGCTCCGGTCGGAGCGTCCGTTCGGCCCCTACCGACCGGGGACGCACCGAACACACCAAGCGGGTTCAGCAGAGCAGGAGCGTGTTCCAGAGCATGTTGTTGGTTCGGAGGCTCAGGAACTTGACTTGAATCGAGATGAGGAGTCAGGCGCAGAACATGGTTCCGGTTCTCCACCGCCGGATTTCCCCGCAACGCTGGCGCTGATAAAACATCGACGCCTCCCAGGTGCGCGTGGTCCCAGCGCCACGCCGTCCTCGCCGCACCACCGCCCCCGTCCCAAGGGCAGCCCCGCGGTCCCCGATCCGTCCGGGCAGCTGAGGCCCCATAGGCCAGCAAGATGCTGCAAGTCTTGAGGTGACCCTCCTGCTGCAAGCGCGGGTCGAATGGAAGACGGGGTGCGATCCATGGAGGTTTGGGGTGCCCAGAACATCCACTCACTTGGGGATCAAACACCACCCCTTTGTGACTCCTGGATCACGATGTTTACTCGGGAAGATTAAAAGAACGAACTAATATGCTCTAGAGGCGTTATTCGGCTATACTCTAGGCCCTATATGCAAAAAAAACAAGCGACTGGTTGCTGAACTCAGTCGAGCTCTGCCCCACTCCTCCGCAGCGAGGCACAAGGGCGTCCAGGCCTCGGCATCCGAATCCGAAGGTCTGGAGGGGTCGGCTCTTCACGTGGAGTGCCATGGCACACTCCGAGAAATGACTTAGTCACCCCCCATGCCACTGCGATTCACCGTGATTCACCGTGATTCACCCAATTTAGCCAAGAGATCCGCCACAAAATTCAGGGTTTCAGGGCCGCGGGGTCCAGTCTCCGCTGCGCGCCCACGCGCGTCCGCGCGTCCACGCGCCCACGCGCGGCTGGGCTCCCCTGTCGTCATCATCCTCCTCATCGATAGGAGCCCCGAAGACCAAGAGCAGCTCACAGGCCTCCAGCGGCCAGGCCAGTCATCTATGATATAGGCAGTGAGTGGGGTCTGGAAAGAATTCGGATCAAAAGTCCAAGAACTGGCAAAGATTCGTGTAGATTCACATGGGAATGTAGCATGGGTTAGTACGGCTTTCTTGAGGGCTTTCACATGCTTTCATGCTTTTTGGACCTGGAGGTGTTCAGCTTTGACCGTCGGCCAGATCATCCAAAGCTGAGGAAAGCGTGCGACGTCTGCCAGACCAGCCATGGAGGGGCCGGGGGCGTGTCACGCCCCCATCGTCACATCGCCGTCCATGGAGATATGGACATGAGAAAAAGACAGAAAAAGAACCTTCCTCCAGTCACGTGGAAGACCGGGCTGCGATCCATGGAGGTTAGGCTAAGGGGTGCCCGAACGTCACATCCACTCACTTGCCAGGGGACGAGTCACATGACTAAACACCACCCAACTCCATGTGACTCCTGGTTCGAACCACCCCACAACGTCAGCCGTCAACTTTGCTCGCTTGGCAGGCGGTCGTTCCCAAACAAGATCCGGTTCACCGGTCAACAAATTCACCAGGTCACCGGATCCAACATGCTCCAACCACCTCCTGAGAAGGTGGTTAGACCCCCGAAACCCACCCCCGGCCCACCTTCGAAACGGAGGTGGTTGGAGCCCTAGGGCTGGGGTGATGATCTTCAACCTCCGCCCTCCGGTGGCAGTCGGCTGGAAGGCTCCAGCCGGATGGAGGGCTCCGCTCGGCGCCTCTGCGTGACCCTGGTCTGCAGCCCAATGGAGAGCAGTACACTCGTTCCTCAGTGCCATGGCCCATCTCTTCGAAGGGAACGGAAATCAAGACCCCAGAACCAGCTAGCTGACTGAAATCAGTCTGATGTCTGAAAGAGTTGCTGAGGGTCTCATCCTCCACCAGCATCTCGAACCCAAAAAAACACATGAAAACACCGGCCCAACTCCCCCCCAACTCCCAAAGGCCGCGCTCAAAGGCCGCTCAGACTCCCGCGGCACTGCCCGGTTTCGGCCCATCCTCCTCAAGCCGAGACACTCGTCGGTGGCCGTGACGTCCGCCGAGGCCTGCACGTCCCCAAAAGACACCCTTGGAAGTCCAGAAACGACCGTTTGTTGGAAATCAATGCTTTATTATGTTCTATTTTAACATCGTAAGACCATGGTTGTTTGGAATCTAGGCTTCAAAAAAGGGGTGGGAACTCGCACTTCGGCAGGGTCAGCGGATGTCAGCGGTGCCTCACTTTGGAGTTGATCAATGTGATCATACCACCAAGAACGGTTGGATGATGGACATGGACGTCGCTGCACGGACCGGACCGGAACCCCTTGGGACGGGTCGTCAGTCCGTTCGGAGAACGTGGTGGTCACCGTAGGACCTGGGTTTCAGATGACTCCAATGATCCACACGGTCAGTTGAAAGGGCACAGAAGTGAGGCCAATGTGACCGGCTAAGGTAGACTCTTGATGCGGCTAAGGTAGACTCTTGATGAATCAACGCATGTTCAACCTCCCATAGTCAGAAAGTAATCCAAACCTTGGAGTCCCAAGCTTTGGTGGCCTGTCTCACAGGCCCAAACGTGTGACCGTGACCTCAAATTGGAATATCAAGTTCCGTCACCTTGAAGAACCCGGCCTGCTTGAAGAAAGAAAAACCTTTAAAACTGAGTGAAGTCTCTTTCTCTGTTCTTCACTTGAAGGGCACTGGCATCTTCGATGCCCTTCAACAGCGGTCGTCGTCGAGTGAACCATCTTCACCCAGAATACCAACCACCAAATTCTCATCCATCAAAACTTGAAGACCGGAATCATTTCAAAGGGGCGGCCTTCCCTGTTGCTGAATGATCTGAATCTTCAAAAACCTTCCCTGCCCCCTCAAGTTTTTTCCTTGTTGTTCTTGTGCCCCACCCAAGGCTCTGGGGGTGCTATTGTCCTTCTTCCCAGCCGCATCCAGCACCCGCCTCCAAGAGCATCTCCAGCACCCCCAGCTGCCCGGCGCCCGCCGCCACCCGCAGCGCCTCGGCGCCATGCGCCGCCAGCGTCGCCCGCAGCCCCGCGCTGGGCGCCACATCCGAGATGCCGCGGCGCGCGGCATCGCCCGGGCGCGGCTCGCTGGTCAGGAGCCACAGGACCCAAGGGAGGTCGCCCACCTGGTGGCAGAGGTGGAAGAACCCGAGTTCGACGGGTCCGTTTTCAGGTGACGGGTCCCTTTTTTCAGGTCACTGTACCTCTGTTGCTGGGTCGCCCCCATGCAACTCCGCTCTTCGCGGGGTGATTGAGGGCAAGTCGTGAAAATTCTCCGCACGGGTAGTGAGTGGCTGGTGGAGGGTGGCAGGTGGAGGGTGGCAGGTGGCGGAGAGGGTGTGCTCCTTCGCGCCGCCAAGTCGGGTCCCTTCCAATCTACCAGAACAATCCAAGGGGTATCCCTACCCCACACAACCTATAGGCTTCCATTGGGCACCCCTTGGATGGTCCAGGTAGTGTTTCTTACCTGGGGTTCCTTTTGGGGATTGAGATTGGACCCGGAAGAACTTCCAAAATCCGGGCCCAGCCATGCCCCATGGCCGCCCTTTGGGAATCCAAGGCCGTGGCGGCTTAGCGCCCTGGTGGAGGACTTGGTCGAGGACTGGCAAGGGGATGTATCTTGATGACAAGATATGACAAGTAAAATAGATCCGCCAGCAGTCACGGAGTTGGGGCGGTGTGCAACGTCGTCCCCTGGCTTACGTGAGTGGATGTGACGACGTTCGGGCACTTGCCTAACCTCGATGCATCGCACCCCGACTTCCTCCGTGACTCCTGGTGATTGAGACGATGGAAAAACCATAGGCCCAACGGATCCCAACTGCAAAGGTCGGTGGAGGACGAATGCAGGCACTGCCTACCCCAACGAAGGCAGGCGCCCACCAGGCCCCCCCTCCTCCTCTCTCTTCACCTTCCTACCCGCCCCCAACGATTTCCATCCGCTGCACCGAATTCCTGCCAGACTCTTCTCTCAAGCCCGCCCTGGTGCCCCCTCACCAGCCCCGGTGCCCCTCACCAGCCCCCAAGACCTTGACAAACCAGCAAAGGATCTTTCTGAAGAGGCCTCGAGCCGACTGGAGCCGCGAGCAAGTTACGCATCTGAGCTGGGATCGAGGAACCCCTCCTAGGTGGGGCTAGTTTGAAATAGCCCAAAACATATGTTTCAACACTGCCCGTAGCATATCCGGACCATATCCATCAAAAACCCACAGGCCATCACAGGCCCACAACCTTTTTGAGGGTGCAAACAGCACAGGTTAGATCACTGTTAGATCCAGGAAGACTTCCACCAGTCCCATGTTGCTAGCTTGCCTCCTGAAGAATGCGAGAGGAGTCTGGAGGTGCATATGAATTCATTTTATAGAGGATATCGCTGTGGGTCATGGCACCAGGATACCTTGCTTGACACCACCGAGTCGGTCCTACACCAACACCCACTCTACACTCCGGGTGGGTCACGACCCATCGCCATATCCGGACTGGGAGCTTCCACCTCAACAAGGAACAAGGACGCTACGAACGGGGCTCCTGGCATCGCTACTAGGCACCAGAAGCTACCAACGGGGCGACCCTGGCCTTACTACGAACGGAGCGATCGGACGCTACGAGGGCCGGGGCGATCGGGGCGATCGGGCGCACCACGCACCTCGACCGACCCGACCAACCCCCTAACCGCCTTCGCCGTGGCCTTCGCCGTGGCCGTCCACCTCGGAACCGGCGGTTGCGCACGGTGAGGTCGGGTTGGTGGTTTCAACTCACGATAAGATAAAGGTAGTACGTGGTTGTCAGTTGTCAGTGGGATCAATCATCCCAAGCAAAATCAACAAAATCATGAAACCTTCTGAAACCACCATCCAGTCAGTTACTGTCTGCTTAAGCGACCTTCACTGTCCTCGGCAACCTCTTGAAACTCCGCAGACTCCGCAGAAGTTCCGCCGTCTTCCGTTGCTGCCCTTCCGTCTCCGCCTGCCCTTCCGGCCCCGGGGCCTCTTCCGCCGCTTCCAAACCCCCTCAAAACATCGATCACCGTGTTCGACCGGTCGACGGTCGTTTCTCCCAGTGTCGACGAGTGATCAGAGGGACGTCCATTCAAGTCACCTAGGCATTTCATTCATTTCATTTCAAGTCACCAGACATATCCTCCTCTGGTGTCATCCGCGAAAGCAAGTCTCCAGAACCTTTGGGAGGGGGTGGGGGGTCCTCCTCCTCCAGAAAACTTCCCTTCACACAGAGTGCCTGCTGCGCCCTGCACATCCTCCCAGCTCACACCACCTGCGCAGGGAACAGCTCTACGGGGCGCCAAGGCCCGCGCGCCCGCGCAGGTCAAGGACTCCAAGGCACCCAGGCCTCGGAGACCGTGCATCGGCCGGGTATGAAACCTGGAAAAAGGGGCATGAACCCTGGGAGTCAAAGACTATAACAAGAATGGTCTGACTAGGGGACCTGATTTCGGGAACTTCCTTTACTTCAGCCGGTCAAAATTTAGTCCAACTGGACTTCAGCCGGGTGAACTGATCGGTTACGAGGGAGCGATGCCAGCTACGTTCGTTGTTGCACACGTCAGAAGCTCTGCTTGTGAACCGCCTGCAACGAAGTACGAAGTACGAATACCCCCGGTCACCACACCGCTGTGCCCTGTGCTCCTGGCAAATGCGCCGCTGCCTGAGCGACCAGCGCCGACCCGGGCGAGGATGGTCTGACTGGATCAGCTTTCATGCAGCGAGCTCCTGTGGGGCTCTCCCACAATGGACGTGCTGTGTGTCGTCCGTACCGGATGTTGCGCAGGCGCTTTTGGTTGGTTCTTCTCATGCATTTCTGGCGCTTTTGGTTCAATCGTATCCAGCCAAGGAAGCAGAACTGGTCTAGAGAAATGATCAGGTGTCTTTGGCCAATACATCTTCATGTTCTGCATCTGATTAAATTGGGAAAATACCCACCAAACTCAATGATTGTCACTTCCCCAAAAAGAGCATGCTGTCAATGCTCACTCTTAGTTCATTTGAACAAAGAGATGCGCTACCTCTACCAAACCTGTTCCAAAGCTCGGCATCCACAAGAGCTTCCAGCCAAAAAGAAAAACGACCATGTCAGCGCCTTTCCACCAGCGCCCAAGACCCTCCCCCAAGACCCTCCCCTGACTCCCAGGCCGTTTCCCTGAAAAGAAAGGTTACTCCCCCTCCGACAATCATGGAAGCGCCCTAGACCATGTTCCGAAGATCAAACAGTTTCTCGCAGGGAGGAGAATCAACCCTTTTGCAGCTGTTCGTTGGTCTAGTGTCCCCAATCCTCCCAAAAAAGATTAAAGGTATAGTCGGTATAGTTACTTCTCCACCTTTCCTTCGTACCAACCCAGACCCCTTCCGTTGCGGCCAGGCCACGCCCACGGCACCGCCGCCAGGCTCAGCGCCAGGTGCGGCACCGGCAGCTCCCCCGGGCCCGTGCCGCCGCTCCAGGCGCGGCACGGCAAGGCCTGGAGCCGGTCATGTCTGACAATGGATGCGGCACCGGCCAAACGCGGAAGGTCAACATCGCGGCGTCGGCTTATACTGCCTTTTATAAATTTCAGGACCCAACGACTTCAACCCCAGGCTGAAAGCACTTGCCGAAATGCTCCCCTTCGACCCCGCGGAAGCTCAAGTCAATGCATGGTGCCCAATTTCTTGGTTCGGCCCTGGTACCCCCACACCGAATGTAGCGAAAAGGGAAACGAAGGAAAACCTGGAAGAAACATGCCAGGAGTTCCAGGTCCGGGTGCCTAAACTCACGAGGATGTGAATTTTCATGAACGACCAAGAGGCAACCCCAAGTCCAACTAGCACAAAGCTGTTTGGGTTCCCCAAAAACTCTCCCACCAAGCCTTCAGACAGCGGCAAGCCGCTCGAGCGGGCAGATCCGCTGGAGCCTACGAGGAGGTGTTTTTCTGCCAAACACACGGACATTTGACCGCTTGATGCTTGGAGGGCCAGGGCAAAGCCAACGGGGTGGTGGTTTTGGGGATTCCAACCCTCCAGATCCTCAGCACGGGATCCAGAAGGGCCGGGAACTCGACGGATCTCGCGCGTAATGGAGACTTGGGAAGAAAACAGTGGGAGCATGTCATCTGGTGGAGATATGAAGAGCCCCCGTGAGACTTGAGATGGACATGACTTACTGTAGATTTGGTACTATGGGTGAGAAAGGTGTGCAGCCAACCTGACCGGGTCCGCTGATGTCTGCACAAGCTGCAATCCTATAGGCATGCATAGGCCCCAGGACCAAGCTCAAGGGAATCGCCTGCAGGACAATTATTTTTATCGAAGCTGTCAGGAAACTCTTGTTGTTTCACCTGTCTCGGAGTATCAGCCATCCAAAATATGGCTCTTTTCCATTCCAATCCTTTCTTTTGAAAGGGAAGAGAGAGAGAGAGAGAGAGACCCCTTTTGTCCTTGAATGGGCTTGGCACTGCGGCGGCACTGGACTTCAGACCGCTTTTGTCCAATCCCTTTCCCAAACAGAAAGAAGAACGCTTCGCCGACAGACGCTGCGCACGCGCTGCGGATCGAGTCTCCGCCTCTAAGAAGTTCCAGAGGCGAAAGGTGAGGCACTCCCAAAGCGCTTCGTTCGGCATGGCTACGAGCCGCCACGAGGCACTCCGGCGGAAATCAACGCACGGACGCCATGGGCGGGGTCGCAAGGGCGTTGGGGTCGCGCTGGGGCGGTTGGCGCGAGGTGTGTTGAGATTGCGTGAAGAGTGACCCAATGATTCCCCCCCCAATAGGTAGGCAAGTCCATCCTACATTCAGAGACATGTTCGACTCCACCTTTCATTCGACCACCTCCAGAAGACTCCAGAAGACTCCAGACAACCTCGCGCGTTCCCTTGGCCTCCTACTGTAGGGCCGGGCACTTCGTCACTTCGAGATGATGATATGAAGACCCACTGAGTTGGAAGCAACCTTCATGCTGGGATCCCCGGTACCTAGCCAGGGCTGCCGGTCATGTTTCGAGGGAAACAACCACTGTGCGAAGAGGATCATCCTCGCTTTCACTGAAGACTGATGCTGCTGTGGTAACTGAACTGCAACAAAAAGGATTGCAAAATGCGAGATCTGTACCTGAAACTCGAGAAGTGATGCAAAGCTGCAAAGACGCTCTCTTGATCATCGGGGCTGACTGAGCTGCAATTATCGCTGCAATCTCATCGGGCTGTTTTTTGAATCTGGAATCTGTGCCACTCCTTCCTGCTTTGTAAACTCTTTGTTGCCAGCAAAACTCAAAAAAACAAGGAAAACTTCTCATGCACCAGCTGGAATGCACGAGACATTGCAAAAAACGGGTGAATGAACTTGGAATCTCCTGTATTGTCAGGTACCTCAGGCAGGGCCCCTAAGGGGTGTCCATTCAAAGCCGCTTAGAGGTTGAGGGGTATAGGTATCAATTAACCACCCCTGGAGATGGTTTGGATTCAGACTTTAACTTTCCTGCAACCCTCTCACACCAAATTGGTGTGTTGTTGCTTGCCTTCCCAGACCCTGCACCCCAAAATCGCAGCCCGTTCTTCCCTCCGCGCTGGGTCGCGGCTTGGAGCGTCTTAAAGCATGTTCTTGCTGTTTCGGGACATTCCAGGTATGCAAGAAGGACTCTCCCCTCTTCTTTCTGCTTCAAGCGACAGCAACCTCGTCGTCCCAAAACAGCAAGGCTGCAGCTTGATGAAGGTCTACTTTGCCAGAATTCTGTGCCTCTCATCAGACGAAATCAGTCATCCTTCTCTTTCCTTGGATTCGAACCATCTGCTCCGAGCAGGTCATCTTGAAAACTGGAAAGAAGAACATGAGCGATCTGATACTATCCCAATATATAAATCGATCTAGCATCTAGCTCGAACTTCTCTACCCCCCCCGCGAATAGAAAAGGTCCCCCATGGCACCCGGAGACCGGTTCACCTACCTGGTGAGACTTCGACCTGGCTACGACTGGTGGACTGGTCGACCTCCTAGTGGGGCACGACCCATCTCATCGCATGCTGCAGGGCCCGAGGTTCTTGGCCCCACATCAACGGTCGGAGCCAGGCGTCGTTTTGCACCAGAAGGCGATGGCGCCCACCAGGGCGCCCTGTGAACGTTCCAGGCGGGGCAAAATGGATGAAACGACTGGTCGAAGACCTCATTTTACTGGAGTTCATAAGACAAAAAACACCACTCAATAAGGAAGGGCCAGGTCTTACTGGGTCTTTGGACAACCCCCTACCAATTCTACACCGAAGACAAACGCCCAAAGCTGCCAATTATATAGACCTGCAAGAAACGATGTAGAATGAAGAGAACAACTGAACCAGCAAATACCAGCAGCAGCCCCTCTGCCAGGACACCCCCAGTTCGGTATTGGCGACGAGGTATATTAATATTAATTAATTAAACCTCTAAAGTCCACGCTTTCCGGGTTCAATCACCATCCCAACTTGGTCGTGTTTTTGGTTCCATTCTGTTCCATTCACTTTGCTCCAGACCCAACGGTCAGCGCGCCAAGCACGCATCGGTAGGGACTCGCTCCGGCTTTGCTCGCTCTCGCGCGCCAAACCGCGGAAACGGCACTCACTCGCTCTCGCGTGCACTCGCTGGGGTGCCCCAACGGTCACGCCCCACTTCAAAGGGGTGTCGAAGCGCAAGGCATCCCAGGCAGTGATGAGGTGCACCTCCTGCCGGGAACTCCGATTTGGATGTCGGCGCCCCCGAAGGGTACGACACCGAGGACGAGCCGACGGGTGGCGGTCGGGTCGTCTTTCGTCTCGGTTTTGCCAGGCGAAAACGAAAGGCATGCCTCAAAGAGGCTCCGTTCATGTCACTGCGACACGTGGTACGTCCGTCGAAATCCCCCAAAAAAAACGTTTGGTCCCCAAAGGTTTGCATTCTGGTGATGAAACGAGGCCCACGCGGACCGCAGAAATCCGCAGAAATCCGCAGAAATCCGCAGACTCTTTCTCTCCTCATGCCGCCCCCCATGGCGCAGACCGCGCGGCGTGCACCGCGCCTCAAGGTCCTTCGGCTTCAAGTCACCGCCCGGCGTCACCGTGAGCCACGGCACCCTGTAGGTCGGCGACTTCCGGAGCCTCGGGGGAGCCGGTAGACCTGCGAAACGGCGAAACCAAGGAAGGACTTGGAGAGTGAGAGCACCCCAAAGGGCGCAGGAGAAGTTTGTTTTGGAAGCCCCCTGCCCCCTGCCACATGTCTTCTAGCCACGCAAAAGCCGCAACGAACAAAGGTGTGAAACGAGGTAGACGGAGGTCGATGGTGCCTTTTCAACCATGCCAGCTAGCAGGGTGCTGGCTCCAGCACCGGGAAACCACCACGCAGTGGTCCAGCGCCAACCTAGTGGGAGTTGTCACATGGTGCCAACAGTTCTGGTCGAGTGCCTCCGCTGCGACGATGGCTTGCAAGATGAGCGTAGAGCCAGCTGCGGCTATCACTCCGCCCTGCGCTGTCGTTGAACGCGCTCCGGGTGACGTGAATGGACCCTTTGAGGAGGTGAGGGCAGTCCTCTTCATTCCTTTTTCCTTTCCTTTCGTCCTGATGCGGTCTGAGCGGCATTAATTAGATGCATGTCAGTCACAGGCACCGCCTTCGGCTTCACAGAAAGAAAGAAAGAAAGAAAGCACATGTTGCATGAAGTGCGCTCGCTGGATCTGCTCGGCTCGGCTGGATCTGCTCGGCTGAAGGGTCGACCGGTAGAGGGATCTGCAGGTGTGAGAAGGTGGTCGGACAGGGCCACGTTGTCACAGTTGTCCACCTTCATAGATGCTCGCGGGAACTCGAGAAAAGATACTTACAAATAGTTTCTAGTCCAGTTTGTCACTGGAATCGAGCATGCACAGTGACCGTGAATGAGTTCAAGCCGCCGTCTCCGTCTGTGTGCCGACCACGCGATGAGCACAGAAGCCTAACGAGTGTTTATTGGCAACGCACAGGTCGACGAAGAGTTTTGTAGATCGAGGATTCGCTGAACCAATTCCCTACAACATCCAATTCCCACTGTGATTGTGGCATCACGGCGGTTGTGGGTAATATGGTGCGCACCTGTTTTTCGGTCATATTTGGGAGGATTGCCAAGTGAAGGAAAGGAGACGACCCTGGCACCGCCGTGCCAGTCTTTAAAAGAAACAAACATGTTCAGTGTCAAAAGGTGGACCCTTCTTCAGTGCCACTGGAGGACATGAAAACAACAAAAGAAGAATGCCCCACCGACCCTGCTCTGATGCTGAACGGGTGCCTGAAGAATCCATGGCCGGTCCGGGTTTTGCATCGCAAACCCCAGTAGAAAACCCGGAAAGTCCAAGGATGTACATTGAAAAGAACCAAAAGATCGACCATATGCCATATGCCTCCTTTTGGACCCTTGGATCACGGACTTTTGGACCCTTGAATGCAAGTAAAAATGCCTTATAAAGCCGACAAAAAAGGAAGGTGCTGCAGCTTCCTATACATGCCAGAATGGACCACTTCCTTCACCTTCCAAGAAGTCCAGATGCAAGAAAACACTCGGTGGTGGCTTCCACAAGCCTGTGGCGGAAGTCCCAAACGCATCCCAAACGCATGGTGCTCTGTTCAACAGCATCTGGTCTCAGTCCCCTTCCGGCTCGAACGAACGAGCTCGCGGCGACACCGAGGCGTTCGCTTCGTTCGAGCGTAGATGATGGGCGAGTTGGCATCCTCGTCCCGGAACTCCGTGAGGTACCTCCCGCCCGCCGGGGCCGTGGGGGAGGCGGTCGACCAGTGCGACGGTGGAACGCCTAGAATGGCGATCGAAATGTCAGGATCTTTACGTCCTTTCTTCAGTTCGTGACCTTTGGAGTGGCATCCAGTGACCCAGGCCCTTCTGTGACCTCAAGGCCTGGGATATCAAGTTCTGTCACTTGGAAGCAGGGTACGTCCTTTCTTCACCAAAAAAGCTCAACCAAGGCCCCAGGGTGCTGTTCAATGTTTCGACTGACCAGTCGGCCTTCTGTACACTCCCTGGAACTAACATGGTTCCGTGGATGGGATGGCCCCAAGTTCGGAAGACCATGCTCCTCTAAAAACCGGGCTGGTGCACAACTCCATGTTCCACGTTCCTTCGCGGTAAAACATCAACGCTGCGTCACTCACTCATGCGCTGTGGATCGGATCGCCCCTCGGCCGGGCGCACCAGCTATATCTCTTGCCATCCAGCGAGGCATGGACGAGAGCCAACTTCACCTGCCCCCCACGGCACCGCGCGCGGGGCGCGCGCCCCGAAGGGGGACCGGAATCGGGTCTTGGACCTCGTGTGGCGGGGTTTGGTTCGCCCTTGCAAACGGGAAAAGATCATGGCGCGCGCTTGATTCTGGGTGGGGACCACAGGCATGATGCCAGCGAAAATCGCTGCCAATTTTACGTCAACTGGCACTCTTTGAGATCAGAAAACAGAACTCATGCGAGTTGAATCAGCTATGGATACTTGGGTCTATCCTATTACCAGCAACAGCGGATGATGGGCCATGTTTACTGACTGTTACAGGTAATAGGACAGACCGGTCAAGTCGTCTGGCTTGGGGTGTGCCGCCCACCGATGATTCCGAATCGCTCCATGGGCCAACCAGCACAAGGTTCCCTCTGCGCCGAACACAGCGGCGAGCTGCTCCGAACCGCTCGGAACCGATCGGAAAGAGCACTCTTCAGTGGCTGAAACATGCGGAGAAAGGCCCAGGCTGCCCTGCAAAGGTTCCCCGTGGGTTTTGGCAGCCTGGTGCTTCAAACATCTTCAAACGAGTTGGATGGCCTTTGGTGGGACGCTCCGACAACGCGAACCTTCTCCTCGGCGAGTTCTGGCCGACAGGTGCTTATCTCTTCCCAGAATCCATCGCACCCGTTTCACTCCCAAAATGCTCCGAAAGAGATCTTCCTCAGATGCCCAATAATCGCTGACTGTTGATCAATGAAACCCATTCTGGATCCTCTTGGGGATGGGGATAAAGGGACTTTTTATCAATCCACCGTCGACATGACCCTCTTTCAGGGTGTCTACCCCCTTCCCTGTAACCCGCAGGCTCCGCCTCCTTGGCAGTCAGGTTGTGAGCACTGCAGCCCATGGTGCAGCTGAAGACCATGGTCTTCTCCCGCTGCTCCCACGGCACGAAGCGGTCAAAGCTCTTGTGGTAGAACAGGGGCTCAAACCTCAGCAACTCGCCCCTTGCCGACCGTAACAAGCTCGGGAGAAGACAAGGTACTCAAGCTGCATGGCTTGCAGCTTGAGTACATACAAGCCAATTCGAAAGAATGAAATAGCATCGCAAAGGTACGCAATAGATTCAATAGATCGAATTAAGTCTCATGAATCACAGAAAGGCCAAAGTACCAGGACCTCTTCAGATGTTCCGCCCACCCAGGGCTGCCCCGTGCTACCAGTCTCGCTGGCAGGTCGTAGCTCGTGGCGGCCGCCCCACGGGCCGAACGCAAAGGAACAGAAACACACGAGCGAACAGCGGGCACGGTGACTAGGGTCAGCCGGGCCCCGAGGTTGAACCCGCCAGCTGGAGTGGATTCCGTTTTCAACCCGGACGATGGCACGGAATAGGACGATGGTGTCCTAAGATGGCGCATCGAGAGGACTGGAAGACGGGCAGTATGGATACGATGCAACGGCCCGGAAATCCCGGCTTCCGAAGGCGATGAGAGAGAGAGAGAGAGAGAGCAAAAGAGATCTAAGAAAAAATGGAGCCCCCCTCTTGAGAGCATGGATCGAGTTCAACTTTGGAATGATTTGAGAGAGAAACATGAAGGCAGGACAGCTTATACGATCTTTTTCTCGCTCCAT